AAGACAGTGATGTTCTAAGAAACACAAATGACCAAGGACCTCATCCTATCTTTTCTTACTCATTTTACTTCCCTACATTAGCCAACACTTACACCAAAAACAATAGCATGGAAGGAAAGAAAAAACAGGAAAACCCAGAGCTCTACTCCTTTTAACCTTCTTTCTTTATCAGTAAACCAAAGGCAGAGTGTTGGTAAGATGTGCTGCCATTAAGCAGTGAACTAAAACAGTTGAGTTCATTTTGTCAACATTTTCATTTTTCTGGTAGGAACAGAATACATGCTTGTATATGAGCTATGAAATATGAGTTATATAATTCTAGGTATTTTCATATGAGTAGAAAGTGCTTATATTTGCCTTTAAAACTAGATCCACAATATAAAGATGAAGAGTAAAATTCATGCTAGCAATTTAAAATTTTAATTTTTCTTTACTGAGAATGACATTAAATAGCAAATAAAAATAACATAGCAAGTCAAGAGAGACTGTGGAAGAGAAGAAAAGCCTTATATCTTAGCACCTTTAACAACAGCACTTTCCTCTGCTTTTTTAATAAGACATTCTGCATTTCATTTTGCATTGGGTCCCACAGATTCTGTCTTTGTGAAGGATCTGACTGGAAAATAGAGAAAGTCAGGAAAGTGGGTGCTGGCTGCAGATGGGGTGAGGGTGGCTGACTGAATCTGGCAGGAGAAGCCTTTTTAGTCCTGCTCTCCTATCTACCCTGGGATGGCCTGGACCACTGGGAAGATGTCATGGGTAATATCAGGGAGCTCTGAGGTCCTACTGGGTGAGAAGGTGCTGGAAACCACTGATCCCCATGGGATGAAATGACACGGTTTAGGGAAGTGCCTCCTCCTATGCATGCTTCCAGGGCAGGGAGGCAGCAAGAAAGTGGTGATCAGCAGTTTTTGAGTGAGCCTTACACTCAGGGTCTTCAGAGTGGACCTAACTATCTGTGCTCCCCCACTCCAGGATGTCAGGTGGAGTAGCCTCTGTCCCCAACTCCATCAGGAGCTCATGAGCCAGAGCAACTCAACACCCAAGGAAAATGACCAGTTGGAGAGAAAAACATGCACCCTGGAGATGCATGTGCCAGTCTGTGTCCTCTGAGAAGCAGAGGACAAAATGAGATTAGATGAGGGAAGAGGTGGTGATTGGAGGTAAGCCTGTGCAGGATAAAGGAGAAGGGTCAGGTGTAAGCAGGAGAGCCTCAGATCCCAAGGCAGGTCTGAGGCTTGTGAAGGGAGACAGAGAAGGAAGAAGACTGGGTGGGAAGAGTCTCAGACTCCTGTCCTCTCGCCAGGAGGTCTTGGTCAAGCTGATGAGAGTCCCTGATAATGAAGTCTGCAGTGGGCAGGAATGGCTGGCTAGTATCTCTTGACACACCTTGTCTTTGACAAGCACAGCTGGGAAGAGGTGGCAAAACTTTTGATATAACAGTAATTGTTATAAGTGTAAGTGGGTTAAATTCCAATGAAAAGGCAAAAACAGATTAGATTTAAACATTTCAGCAGAGGATTACCTAAAAGAGATACATTTTTTAAAAGATACAAAAAGATTTTAAAAAGTTGACAGAAGACTTACCAGGCAAATATGAACCAAAGAAAACTCGATTGACATTTAAATTTAGGACAATATATAGGACATTCAAATTTAAAACAAAAAACTTAAAAAAAACCAACCCCAAACAAACAAGAAAGGACACACATGCATACTCATGAAAGGAGCCACAGAAAGATAATGTGTATTTATTAAAATCATTCAAATATCTAAGAATATGGCTTTAATATACATTAAGCAACATCTGGCAGAATTTCTGGGTGAAATAGATATTTTAGCAATATTTTTTTTTCTTTTTTGAGTTGGAGTTTCCCTCTGTTGCCCAGACTGGAGTGCAGTGGCACGCTCTCAGTCACCGCAGCCTCAACCTGCTGGGCTCCGGTGATCCTTCCGCCTCAGCCTTCCAAGTAGCTGGAACTACAGGCGCGCGCTATCTCGCCCGGCTAATTTTTTTTTTTGTTTATTGTAGAGATGAGGTCTCACCAAGTTTCCCAGGCGGGTCTCGAACCCGCGAGCTCAGGCAATCCACTCACCTCAGCCTCTCAAAGCGTGGGATTACAGGCTAAGCCACCAAGCCAGGCTTATTTTAACAATTATAACTGGAGATTTTAATACAAATAATTTAAGCTCAAGCTGACAAAAATGAGTGGAAATTTCCAAATCCTAACAAATAAAATTATTAATCTTTTAAAAAAGAATTTCCTTTCTGGATCTCACCTTACTGAGTCAACAATGAATAATCTTGAACTCTTAAATAATATAGGCTGGGTGTGATGACTCATGCCTATAATCTGAGCAATTTGGGAGGCCAAGGAGAAAGGATCACTTGAGCCTAGGAATTTGAGATCAGCTTAGGCAACATAGGAAGACCTCATCTATGCAAAAATTTGGGCAGATGTGGTGGTTTGTACCTATAGTCCCAGCTACTAGGGAGACTGAGGTGGGAGGATTGCCTGAACCCAGGAGGTCAAAGGTGCAGTGAGCTGTGATTGTGTCACTGCTTTCCAGTCTGGGAAGCAGATTCACCTCAATAGATAAACAAACAAACAAATACAAAGAAGCAAAATAAATATTTACACAACTCTGTACCCATCAAACAACCTATTTGAGCACATGTAGAACATTTATAGAAATAGACCGTGTGTTAGGACCTAAAGATGCCTCAATAACTTCCAGAGTCACAGTACCATGCAGACTGGACTGCTATATTCTGCTTCTAGATTCCCTTTGCCCTCCTTTAGGAGACCACCCTAAATGAACCAAGCTCCATGGTGACCTTGCCTTCCACCTTCCCCTTATGTTCAACCACAGCACTACCAGATGAGGGCAGAGAGGAGGGAGAGGCCCACGGATTTGCTGCCCTTGGTCCCTTCCGGTGGGTGCTCTGGAACCTGAGGCCTCTACTTGAGGCCTCTGCTCCCACCCTCCCCCCTCCAATCCCTGGGTTAGACTGCAATGCCACCAAACCCTTGGGATTTTCAGGTCTCCTGCTCACACCTTTGCTGATAGTCTCTTTGGTATCAAAACTCCTCAAATTACTCAATTTGAGTGTGCCATCTGCTTCCTGCCAGGATCTTTACAGTGCATAGGCTTTGTTCTCTGATAATAATGCAATTAAATTAGATCTTTTAACAAGGAGACTATCAGGGACATTAAGAAACATTTAGATCTGAATGATGATGAAAACATTATATGTCCAAATTTGTGAAATCCAACTAAGGCAGTGCAGTAGAAAGAATTTTGTAGCTTTAAATACAGTGGCTCAATCGGAAAATTAGAAGGCTTAAAAATGAACTAACCATTTAGTTCAAGGCAGAGCAACAGATCAAATCCAAGGAACCCCAAAGAGGGAAATAATAAATAAGAACAGAAACAAATTAAATAAAAGGGCAAAGATTCACAAAACTAAAAGTTGGACCTTTGGAAAATATTTAAGGATGTATTTGAAAAAGAAATGCAAATAAAATACAGAATAAAAAGAAGTACATAAGATATAAAAAAAACATGCGAGTCATTTAAATGAAATATATTAATTCCTAGGAAAATGTCAGATATCAAATTAATGTCTACAAAAATGTCAATTGTTTCAAGAAATAAAGAACTCGACCAAATAAAAAACATAAGGGAAATGGAAGTGATAAAGGCTCCGCCCCCAGGAACCAAGATGACTTTATCCTTTCTACCAATGCTAGGAAGATCAATTAATTTCTCTTTTACGAAGGTGGTTCCAGGAGAAAGAGAAGCTGTCCGGTAGGCTCAGGAGGGGCAGGGAGGGATGGGCTACCTCATTTGCCAGAGCAGATTGCATGTGTATCTGTGCCCTGTTACTTACAAGACATATGCCATATGGTTGTTGCAAATTGAGATAAGCACCACCTCTCCTGGGTTGTGTATGGTTTACAGGGTTAACAGCAAAGTCCCTTGGGCAGCGCCTGGCATCTACTGGACCCGAGAAAGGCTTGGCCATGAGGGGGTTGGCAGGGTGTGGGCTGGGGAGGAACGCCGGGGTCCCGGTTTCAGGGTGGCATGACGTCACCACACCCACCGCACCGCAGAGAAGTCCCCGTGGGTGAGCTGACCAGGGGCCTTGTAAAGGTGCCTAGCCCTGGGGTGGATGGAGGTTTGTGGCACACACAGAGATGCCCGCAGGAAAGCGGCTGGAGAGCTTGACGAAGGCTGGGGCTTGCCAGTGTGGCCCCAGAGCAGCGTGTGACTTGGTGGCTCAGGGTGTGAGGACGGTGGAGGCCTGGAGAAGTGGCGCGGGTGGAGGTTGGAGGTCTCCACTAGGCATGACGGGAGGCGAGACGGGCTTCCGCGGGTGGGCTGGTTGCATCATCCTTGTCTGCGATGCTCTGGTCTTCCTGTAGTGCTCTGGCCCAGACACAGGATGCGATTTTAGCACCCACCTGTTAAACCCCGGAGTCAGTGTCCCCAGCCCGTCCCCTACGTCTCCTCCCTGATGCAACCCGCCCCGCTGAGGTTTGACCGTCCCGCACCACGCGTCTGCGTTGCTGCCTTCCGCCGGGGCAGGTGGATGTTTTATGATTTCTCTTGAAAGGGGCCAAGGTGAGGGAGAGCCTGGAGCGGGGTACCCTGCAAATTCAGTTGAGTGGGGGCTTAGGGACTGAGCGCCGCCAGGTCTCTCTCCCCTGCGGGGTGGGTAGCGCGCGCCGGGATTACGACGGGTAGGGGACTTGGCGTCCGAGCCCGGGGTCCGGCCCCCACTCCTCCGCGGAGCCCGTCGCGGTGTCAGCGGTGACGTCACAGCCTGGCCCCAGCCCCCTCCGGCCCCAACCCCATCCTCGCGGCTGCTGCGACGCCCGTCCCTCTCCCCGCGCGACAAACCAGCTGGCGACTGGGGCTCGGGCGCCGGGCGCAGCCAACCAGCGCGGCGGGAGGGGCGCGGGGCGGGCCGGGCCGGGGGCGCGCAGCCCGTCACGCGGCGTCGCCGTCATAGCGCAGAGCGCAGCCGGCGAGCAGCACAGCTCCGGGCTCGGGAGCCCGCGCCCATGCCAGTGCCCATGCGGGGCCACCGCCAGTGACGCCGGAGAGGTAAGGTCGCCTCCCTCCGGGTCACCCGCCGTCGCGCTCCTCATCCGGCACTTGCACCAGGAGCCCAGCATCCGCACCCCCCCACCCGGGGAAGGGGAGCTTGGGTCAGGAGCCCGCGTCCTTGTCGCCGCCCAAAGCGCGGGCACCGCGAGGCTCCTTCCCTTCCCCCGACTCCCCTCCATCCCCGCAAAGAACAATGGGGCGAACTCAGGGGCGTCCGCCCTTCATGCGCAGCTGGGATAGTTCTATTCGTTGTGGCCCCTGCTGCAGCAGGACCTTCGGCTTGGGTGGGCCGGGGGCGCCAGAGGGTGGACGCGCACGCCGGCGGGATCTGGAGACACCCGCCCCTCCCCCGCTCTACCCCTCCCCTGGAGAGGAGCCACCCAGCGGGGATTCGGTTGGGGTGCACCCGAGCCTGTGGGGGAGGGGAGGTATGGAGAGAAGGGTGGGGATGCGGATGGGGGCATCTGGGAGGGGGCGCGGCTGCAGAGCTGGGGCCCGCAGAGAGCGCGCACAGGGCGGCCGGGTGCGGGCAGCTGCTCTGGTCCCCGGGGTGGGGGAGGGCCGATGCTAGAGCCAAGAGCAAAACAGGCGGACAGGCGGGGCGGGCGGGGGCTGCGGCGAGGGCTCGATCACCCGCTTCGTG